GGGGCATCATACCCTAAGTTTTACACAGCTACATTTTCTGAAATTGCTATGCTAATAATACAGTTTGTAAGGGAAAAATTCCATTAAATTAAAGCAATAAGCCCCAATAAGCCGTGGTTTACAGTGAATGTATAAGAGCTAAGGGGCGTTGTTAGGCACGATGTGAAGCGGAGTTCCTAAAACCCCCTTAGCTGTTATACATTCACTGTAAACCATAGCTTCACAGGGCTTATTCCTTTTATAAAATGGTTATTCCATATACGAAGTAAGGTTTCACAAAATAAAACAGAGCAAATAAAGTGTAATGATATTAATAAAAACATTATTATTCCGCCAAACAATGTAGTTCCTCAGAATCGGTTGTGGTTGCAACAAAGTGGTTGCCAAGCAACACACAAACGTAAACAAAGGTGTAAGTATTTTACAAAAAAGTAATTTACAACAGCTTTGAACGTGGCTGAGTCATTCAGAATCAAGGACCGGAACTATCCGTGTTATAAATGGAAGTATTTCTGGGGAAACTTTTTCAAAAGTAAACACACACACACAGACACACTTCTCTTTGCAGGGCCGCGAATAAGCTGCTCTATCAACTGAATGGAACAAAAAGGGTTGAACTTGAAAAATGTTTTTGAGCGAGTGCACTTGCTAAATGAAGGTGGATTGTATAAAATGGATCAAACAAAAAATGTTGTTTATTACCGAGCTGCAGTTTTATTACATCACGCGCTGACAGATATATAGTAGGCCTATAATAACGCCACGGGTCATCAATAAGGTGCATACTGAATCTGGTCCTCCTATTTCAGTACATTAAGCAATGGTAAGCTGTTTTTTTCCACTTTTCCAAGCGTTAGAGTGTCCCCAACACACTTTTTCACAGTGTGCATCGCAATCTTAAAGTCATCAGGAGTCAACAAGCTGCCGACTTCTCCAAGTGTCTGCTGCAGGATGCACGCGAGGGTGAGACGTGGCAGTGCAGACCGTGCGTCTCTCTATGTACTGAAGTAAATGGGAGTGGAATTTACAACATTATGAATGTGACACTTGTGGGATTATATTATAGTAATGCCCACAACCTCACACCAGATAGGCTAGCATATACAGATCAATTAGTAAGCAGAAATCCTAAATTTACCTTAACACATTAGAGGAAGATGCTGATAACTCAACTGAATTGATGCTTGAAGAATGCTCTTCCATTCGTCTTATTATCACCAGTTGGCGGTTAAAGTTTTCTATGCATGATTTGATTTGATGAGAGTCATGAGACCGATTACTCTCTCCCTATCCAATCAAGTTGATGGATAAACATACAATTTAAACAAGCATGTAACGTAGGGATGTAACGATTAACCGCGAGCCGGTTGAAAATCGATTCAAATATGTGACGATTCAAATCGGTTGAGATGCTAAACAAATCGCGATTCATTTAGGGGCAGGAGTTTATATGAATGCATGTCTGAGGGGAACTTACTGTCTTTAGAAAAGTTTAGATGGTATTTAGATGATTTTCTTTTCATCTTGCCTCTGTATAATGCATATTAAAGTTCATACGTTCAGCGCTGCTTTGTTTACAGCGGAAACCAATGAAACGCTTTAAGCGCCACCTGCTGGCAGAGAGTGAATCTGCATCTCATTCAGCTCTGCTGTTTCATGCAGATATTTTTATTTATAGTTTCACAAAACTGAAGTCAAACCATTCTGTTTTTGCTTCAAATTTCGAAATTATACAATCTAATTTAGTTTAAAAACTGCTCATGTTGCATGTATGCAGCATCTTTGTTTGGATCAAGATTAAAATGCAGTGGTTGCCTCTAATTTTAAAAGGAAAGAGCACAGACAAAGCCTTAGTTTGTTTATATGAAGATATTTATTTTATTTGTGTTA